TTGCAGGAACATGAATAAAACTGGAGAACACTATGTTAAGTGAAATAAGCCAGGCACAGGAAGATAAACATTACATGTTCTCATTCATACATGAGAGCTAAAAAAGTTGATCACATGAAGATAGAGAGGGGAATGGTAGATTCTCTTTCTCCCAGAGAATGGGAAGGATGTGTGGGTGGGAGGAGGGAAATGAAGAGAGGTTGGTTTACAGGTACAATCATACAGTTACATAGAAGAAATAAGTTCTAATATTTGATAGCAGAATCAGGGGACTATAGATGACAATAATGCACTGTACCAAAATGGCTAGAAAAGACAATTTGAAATGTACCTGACATATAGAAATGATAAATCTTCGGGTGATGGATACCCTAAATGTCCTGACATGATCATTATACATTCTATGCATGCAACAAAATTTCACATGTACCCCATAATGTACAAATAGAGTGTATTGATAAAATTACAAAATACTTTAAATTATTGGAGGACAATGATCATGTTTTCTATTTATTTTGTAGACTTTTTCAGTAAATATAGAACTGACCAGCCACAATGTCAGCTTTCAATCAATGCAGAAAATATTTATTGTGCCTCTACTATGTGTCACAGATTGTGCTGCCTATAGAGTGATACTAAAATGAGTAGAACGCAGTTCTTATCTTTACTGACCTTTCACTATGGTAAGTGCTGGTAGACACAGAAACATAATGTGGATGTAAATGCAGCAACATAAAATAGTGCTAAGTAGAACTCTAAGTTGCATACCATCAGGACCCAAAGGAAAAATAGTAAGTTGTATTTTTATAAGGAGGAATAGGTTCAGAGAAAGAGGATTTTACATAAACATATCTTCCCTGAGATACATTTCTTTGTGTATAAGTTGGAGCAAGACAGTAGCACAGGCATTCACGAGTACAGAAACAGCTCCAGCAAAGGCTCCAAAGGGCGTAGTTAACTGCAATGGCTTAAGGACTGGCCCAGGGTAGATGAGTGGTTAGATATAAAATAGGACTTGGTTTGAGGCATTTAAAAGTGAACTAAAAATGCATTTTAAAGAAGATCTATGGCACGATATGCCAGTGGTTCCCAAATGTTGATGCATATTATAATCACCTAGAAAGCTTGTTTGAAAATAGATTTCTAGTATTCACACTAGACCTTCTAAATGAAAACCTCTGGGGTGAGGACTAAAAATCTTTACTTTTAGCAAGCTACCCTGGTGAATCTTATGTAATTTGTTGGTAAATGCAGGGTGGACAGGTGGAGGGGAGAAATTGTGAAGTTAGAAAGCAAGTTGCTGTTACTGAAATATTCTAGAAGGCAGAAGGCAGGGTCTGTGGAGTGACAGGAGCCATTGGACAGAAAGATAGGAAGATAAAATATATGGTGAGGAGCATGCCTGTAATCCCAGCTACCTGGGAGGCTGCTGCAGGAGGATCACTTGAGCTCAGGAGTTCAAGGCCAGTCTAGGCAGCCCATCGTATATATATATATATGTATATGTTGAGGATGTAGTTGATAGGACTTGGAGGCTGAATGTTGACTTAAATGAATCATGCAGTTTTCAAAAATGTAATGCATTATTGATTCAAACCCATCTTGTACTTTTCCATGTGCTCTCCTATACTTTGGAGGAAGTGTATCAATAAGGGAGTTCCCCTGCCTGTAAACAGGCTCAAAGTATGTTCACTCCAAGTGCTATATAGTAAGGTGAACAGTAGATGGCACTTTTGTACTACGCTGAATTTCCAAATTTGTAGACCAAGGAAGAACCAGTGCTAAAATAAAAACAACTCTTTGTAATGCCCAAGTAAATAAATTCAATTTCTGTTTTGGGAGAACTGGAAAAGAAGGGCTAATTAGAGGTCGGTTTGTCCTACTTAGTACCTGGCCTGCAGTAAAACCTTGTAGGTTTTTAAATACTGATCCTGCTTGTGGCTCCCACTCATATAAATGATTAGGTTGCAATCCAGAGAGGTCTAAATAATCATTGTAGCAAGTGGAATTAGGCTTGAGGTTAGAAAAAATTTCTCCAACTTAGACCACATTTCCAAATTTCTACCTCTCAGCTTTCACTATTTGCAAAGGTGAAGAAAAGCAGAAAAGAACAAAATCAACTATGGAAAAGAACAATGGGAAGGGCAGTTTAGAGTAATAAGTGAGGACAGTGGAATGAAAATAAAGGAGATATTACCTTCATTTTGTAAAACTTATTATTAAAATCTTGGCAAAAATGCAATGTTTTATACATTTATAGTACACTTGCAATCACACAACAGTCATGACAGTGATTAAGAGAGTGGATTCTGAAGGCACACTGCGAGTGTCTAAAAATCTCAACTCTGCCACTTCCTAGCTAGCAGTGTGCCTTGGGCAAGTAACTTAATGTCTCTGCATATCAATTTACTCATCTATAAAACAGAAATGGTAATAATAGCACATCTCTAATAAGATTGTTATGATCACTAAATGTCAAAATCTGTAAGGTACTTAGAAAAGTCCTAGCATGTAGTGAAAACATAGGCAGGTATATTAGTCCATTCTCACGTTGCTATAAAGAACTACCTGAGACTTGGTAATTTACAAAGCAAAGAGGTTTAATTGGTTCATGGTTCTGCAGGCTGTACAGGAAGTATAGCTGGGGAGGCCTCAGGAAACTTAAAATCATGGTGGACGGCAAAGGGGAAGCAGGCACATCCTACATGGCTGGAGCAGGAGGAAAAGAGCAAAGGGGGAAGTGCTACACCCTTTTAAACAACCAAATCTCATGATAACTCACTCAGAACAGCAAGGGGGAAATCCACCCCTGTGATCCAATCACCTCCCACCAGGCCCCTCTTCCAACACTGGGGATTACAATCCTCCGTGAGATTTCGGTGGGGACACAAATCCAAACCATATCAGTAGGTGACAAATTTTTTAAGATAAACGTTAGGTGATAGTAGTAATAGGTAGTTTCCCTCCCATCTTTTAAATTTAAAACATGTGTTTCCTGATAACTGAGAAAAAAAGTAAAAACTAAACTTTTACTAAAACAGTTAAATAAAAATCTATACTTTTTTTTCTTTTGAGCTAGTTTCTAAATCTCCAACTTCTTCCTTTTTCTGCTTCTGCTCTGCCCAATATTAGATACAACATGGCTATGAGTAATACTGAGGTCCTGATTACTCTTCAGCTTCTGGTATTATTATTTTATTATTGTGGTGAAAAACTTGTAATGAAATTTACCACTTTACCCATTTTTAGGTGTACAATTCACTGGCATTAAGTACATTCACAATGTTGTGCAAACATCACCACTATCTATTTCCAGAACTTCATCATCCCAAACAGAAACTCTGCACCCATTCAACAGTAACTCCCCAGTCTCCCTTACCCCCAGCCCTAGTAACCTCTATTCGACTTTCTGTCCTTACGAATTCACCTATTCTAGGTACCTCATATGAGTGGAATCATACAATATGCTCCTTTGTGTTTGGCTTATTCACTTAGCAAAATGTTTTCAAGGTTCATCCATGTTGTAGCTTGTATCAGAATTTCATTTCTTTTTATGGCAGGATAATATTTCCTTATATGTATATATCACACACATTTTGTTTATCCATTCATCTGTTGGATACTTGGATTGTATCCACTTTTTGGCTATTGTAAATAATGCTTGCTTTGAACACTGGCATCTGTTGGAGTCTCTGCTTTCAATACTTATGGGATATACCTAGCAGTGAGATTGCTAGATTATAAGGTAATTTTAGGTTTAACTTTTTGAGGAACTGAAAATTTTTTTAACAGAGCTACATCATTTTACATTCCCACCAGTATCCAGCATTATTTAAAAATAATTTTTAAATATATTTGGCAGGCTTTTAAAATAAGTCAAGCCTAAACTGGGAATATGTAGCAAAACTAAGAGTCCTGCAACAGTTTGCTGACAAGTTGCTGGTATCAACACTCTCAACATATCATCTCCTAGACTAATGTAGTGTTTCTCAACATAGACAGCTGAGACTCCCATAGTAATCATCTATGGAGCTTGTTACATCAGAAGGGCCCTGGATCCCACCTTGTATATGTTGATTCAGCATCTCTGGAAATGGGGCCCCCAAATCAACATTAGAAATGCTAAAGCATGAGACTCATCAACCCTAGATTGCTGAGTTCTTGAAGGTAGGGGAAATATCTTAGTCATCATTGTGTCCCTCAAGGCCAAACATACAACAGATATTTAACAAGTGTATACTTAAATTAACTAACACTGTAATCTAAAGCCTACCTGTTTAGTTGTTAAGTACCATATTTAATAAAATTAAACTCAATCACTAGACAACTAGGGAATCTGTAATTAAGGTGTGTAGCATACCTTTCATTTGCATAAAACACATATCTTACCAGCTGTGCTCTATCATGCCTTTTGATGTAGCTAAGGATCTTTACACTATATGTAATTTTCAGCTCAGAACACACTTTGAGGCAGGGTTAAAAAAAAAAAAAAAAGGATATGGACTTGGAATTAGAAGAACTGCCTGTGTGACCTCTAAGACCAATATCTAGGAATCAAGTTTATAACTTGGAAACATTGAAAACATTTTGTAATTCTACCAACTACATTGTTTGACTGAAGCACAAATGATACTATGTGTGACAAAGTCTGCTGTAGAAAGGTGGTCTCATAACAACAACAACAACAAAAAAAAAACAAACCAAAAACCATGTTTCCAAAAAGTTTAGTGCTCTAAGGTATACGCAAATCAGCAAATGAGATTGGAAACATATCGCAGAACATTATTAACTGTATGCACGACATTTATTCATTCACTCATTCATTCATCACGCACATCCAGCATCTATATCAATATCCCGCAGGGCACTGTGTGGAAAAACAGTGGTTAAATAAATTCAAATCCGCCCTCCGGGGATTTAGTTCCTTTTAGTATATTAATAACTAGCAAGCTGCCCCACTTCAAAGCTTTACGTCAACAAAATAAGCGGTAGGGGATTACCTTAAACGTCACGGGTGCTGTCTCTTTAAAACATAATAGAACTCTGATTGCATCGATCACAGGCTCACAACTCCCTTCCATTCATCGCTCTTATTCCCGTCCTGGTTACTATCCCGCTTCCTGACGTCAAACCACAGGGAACGCGAGTGTTAGTAAACATGGCTTTGGTGTGTAGCCACAACTGAACCGGAGCACCCCTCCCGTCCGCTCTTTACAGGGCTGGCGGTGTCTCGGGGCTCGGCTAGCCATGCTTGGAGCGCGGGGTTTGACTGGGCCGCCGTTGTTGTAGTGACCGGGAGGCGCTGCCGCTCTGGGCAGACGGTTCCGGGAGCCGCACGGTCCCCTCTCCTGCCCCATCCCCTCCCCTCCCCTCCCCGGGTTCCCCCACCCGCAGGAGCCTGGGGCGGACCACTCCCCCCCGATGGCCTCAGCCACGGTAAGAACGGGTTGGAAGTGCGGGGGGATCCCTCCCCGGAGCCTGTCCCGCCGGCTGCGGAGCCAGGTCCGGGCCGAACCCGCACCTGACGGGAGATGGAGGCAGGTGTCCGCAGCCGGGTCCTGAGCCCCTCGTCCCGGGGCGTCCGTATCTCACTCTCTGCCACCGGGGCGGACGGAGTGCAGAAACCAGACCCAGCTCCCGGGCGCTCTTCCCCGAGTTCCGGAGCTCCGGACTGAGCCGGGCGGTCCCACGGCCCCCAGAATTCTTGGAGGGTTTCCGTGGAGCGCCTACGTCAGAATCACCTGGGAAGTATTTTTAAAAAAAAAAAAAAGTACCAAAGCCGAGGCGCATCCTAGCACCTGCCTGCCCTGTGCCAGCGGGCGGGGCCCGGGAACGTGCATGTCAAAGGGGCCGCGGCTCCTAAGATGCGCTGGACTCTGGGGAGCGCGAACAGAGCGTTTTGCCGGCCCTGCGGGGAGAGCTGGCGCCGGCGTCTCCCTGTAGCCGGACTGGGCGCCGCGCCCGTAGGTGGGCTGCTGCCCGGCTCCGCCGCCCAGCCAAGCCGCCGCCTGGGTGGCCATTCCCAGGCCGGACTCCGGGGGAGTGGCAGCGTCGATCCCGGCCCCCAGAATTCGAGGTCTGCGGCGGCTTTCAAAACTTGACGACTTTCCTTTCCAGGAGGACCCCGTTCTGGAGCGTTATTTCAAAGGCCACAAAGCTGCGATCACCTCCTTGGACTTCAGCCCCAACGGCAAGCAACTCGGTAAGTCTTATTCTTGTTTTGCTTTTGTAATGAGACAAAAGCTCCACGGGCCGGAAACCTTTCCTCCTGTCCGGGCAGGGTCCCTAGAAGAACGGCTAGGGGCCTGTATGGGGGTTGAGAGCACCCGGAGACGAGGGCCCAGCGCGGCGGGGCGCAGCTGGGGCCCCCTCGGCCATCCCGGCCCCCGGCCATCCCGGCCCCCGGCCCGGCCAAGAGTCTCGTACGTATCCAGCAGTCCAGGCCTGGCGGACGACTTTCGCAAACTAACCACCAGGAGGAGTGAGTGGGCAGGGGAGGGGTTTGTCCTGGGCCCGGGGAGGGTGGGGTGTTGGCTGGAGAGTTCGTGAAAAGTTGTGAGCCGAGCAGGAGGAAGTGGGGAGAGAGGAGTTGGGCCGTGCCGGAGGCCGAGGACCGAGAGGGCTCAGGTGACCCCTGGAAAGCCCGGGTGGCTGGAAAGAAGCCCAGCGCCTGCATGAAAGGAAGAACCTGCCGGGAAGTACCTGAGCTCGAGCTGTGGGTTCCGCCGCCCTTCCCCTGCATGGTGGCTGGGTGGCTGCGTCTGCGCCCCAGCCCTGAGAATCCGGATGGCGGTGAGGTGGACTTGGGCAGGCAAGAGCTGCCTGCTGCTGGCGTTTTTAACAGTGGCCTATATCTTCGTGGAGCTCTTGGTCTCCACTTTTCATGCCTCCGCAGGAGCCGGCCGTGCCAGGGAGCTGGGGTCAAGAAGGCTCTCAGACCTCCAGAAAAATACAGAGGATTTGTCTCGACCGCTTTATAAGAAGCCCCCTGCAGATTCCCATGCACCTGGGGAGTGGGGGAAAGCCAGCAAACTCCAACTCAACGAGGGTGAACTGAAGCAGCAAGAAGAACTCATTGAGAGATATGCCATCAATATTTACCTCAGTGACAGAATTTCCCTGCATCGACACATAGAGGATAAAAGAATGTATGAGTGTAAGTCCCAGAAGTTCAACTATAGGACACTTCCTACCACCTCTGTTATCATTGCTTTCTATAATGAAGCCTGGTCGACTTTGCTCCGTACTATTCACAGTGTTTTAGAAACTTCTCCTGCGGTCCTTTTGAAAGAGATCATCTTGGTGGATGACTTGAGTGACAGAGTTTATTTGAAGACGCAACTTGAAAGTTACATCAGCAATCTTGATAGAGTACGCTTGATTAGGACCAATAAGCGAGAGGGGCTGGTTAGGGCCCGTCTGATTGGGGCCACTTTCGCCACTGGGGACGTCCTCACTTTCCTGGATTGTCACTGTGAGTGTAATTCCGGTTGGCTGGAACCGCTTTTGGAAAGGATTGGGAGAGATGAAACAGCAATTGTGTGTCCTGTTATAGACACAATTGATTGGAATACTTTTGAATTCTATATGCAGACAGGGGAGCCCATGATTGGTGGGTTTGACTGGCGTTTAACATTTCAGTGGCATTCTGTCCCCAAACACGAAAGGGACAGGAGGATATCAAGAATTGACCCCATCAGATCACCCACCATGGCTGGAGGACTGTTTGCTGTCAGCAAGAAATATTTTCAGTACCTGGGAACATATGACACAGGAATGGAAGTGTGGGGAGGTGAAAACCTTGAACTGTCTTTTAGGGTGTGGCAGTGTGGTGGCAAATTGGAGATCCACCCGTGTTCCCACGTGGGCCATGTGTTCCCCAAGCGGGCACCGTATGCTCGCCCCAATTTCCTACAGAATACTGCTCGGGTAGCAGAAGTTTGGATGGATGAGTACAAAGAGCACTTCTACAATAGAAACCCTCCAGCAAGAAAAGAAGCTTATGGTGATATTTCTGAAAGAAAATTAATACGAGAGCGGCTGAGATGCAAGAGCTTTGACTGGTATTTGAAAAACGTGTTTCCTAATTTACATGTTCCAGAGGATAGGCCAGGCTGGCATGGGGCTATTCGCAGTAGAGGGATCTCTTCTGAATGTTTAGATTATAATTCTCCTGACAACAACCCCACAGGTGCTAACCTTTCACTGTTTGGATGCCATGGTCAAGGAGGCAATCAATTCTTTGAATATACTTCAAACAAAGAAATAAGGTTTAATTCTGTGACAGAGTTATGTGCAGAGGTTCCTGAGCAAAAAAATTATGTAGGAATGCAAAATTGTCCCAAAGATGGGTTCCTTGTACCAGCAAACATTATTTGGCATTTTAAAGAAGATGGAACTATTTTTCACCCACACTCAGGACTGTGTCTTAGTGCTTATCGGACACCGGAGGGCCGACCTGATGTACAAATGAGAACTTGTGATGCTCTAGATAAAAATCAAATTTGGAGTTTTGAGAAATAGAGCACAACAGCACTTTCGTCATGAGCTGACAATAGTGTCAAGAAAGTCAAAGAGCCTGAAGGGCCTCAGTGAAGATTGTAGTTTATTTTATCAAAAGCCACCTAGCAGTCGTCTGTGGAGCACTGGAAAGCTGGGGTTCATTTTGGTATACCACACTGAAACTGGGTACCCAGAGTGCTGCTGTTTAATATTTCACAGTGCCTTACTTATATGGGTTGTTTTATATAAGAGCTTTGTCAATATGGTCTCTTCTTAAAAGAAGTTGACTGTGAATTGAAACACACAAGACATTTAAGTGCCAGACTTAATATTAAAGAATGTAAAGGTCCAAGTAAAATGAGGTATGATTTATGTTGATGGGTAAGTTCACCGCACATCCCATTTTTTAACAAAACTCACGAATGTGCAGTTGGAGCTATTGCTATTTTCATTACATAGAATTTGAATTTCTTTTTCAGCCAGCACATTAAATTTTAGATTTTATTTTTTAATTTTTTTTTCTAATCAAAAAGAAAGAAAATTGAGCTTAATGCAAAAGGCCTGGTTTTAGAGATACGTGTAATTGGAAGAGGGCATTTGTTTGAGTGTGAGTTTGGAGGCCTTTTTAACATGCAGACGTACCCATATCTAAATGAAATGGGGAGATACTTACATTCCATACTTTGTAAACTTGAGCTATTGGACTTCACTGATCTATATATTAATACCTCAAATTCCTCTTGATTTGTAAGCTGTCCTCTCTGTGTACGTGTTTGTGTGTGCAGGGCATTTTCTGATTGCACTTCCTTAACTTATGAATGTACTAGAAAGGGACTCATTCCGAATACTATGCCTCCCTTTGTTAATGCTTAATCATTTAAAGTAAACACAATTGAGGCCTCTCTGAAGTTAAACCCAACTATGTTTATTAAAATGTGTGAAACTGAAAGTGGGCTAGGTTCTGCCAAGGCTGTGGAACTCTCCTACGAATTCTGCTGATCAGGAAATGTAAGAATTTATCTTTAAAATGCAAGGAAAAAAGACTGCCTTGGCAGTTGTGAATGCTGCTTTCTGTCTCTAGCACCGAGCCTGGCACTTAAGTGCCGCTTTCAGGAAGTGGGTGAATGAATGACTGAATGAATGAATGGCTCAGCTGAGGAATGTGACTTTGGTCAAGTTATTTGATGTGTTTGGGCTTGGTTTTCTCATCTGTAAAATGTGGGTGCTGAATTGGATCTTAAATATCCCTTTCAGCTCTGAAATGTTGATTATACAGCATATTCTTCCCAGATTCACTCACTGTGCAATCTTTACAATACTTTTTATCTTTTTCACTTTTGACATAGGTAATGTTGTTGAGCAGTTGAGCAATGTTCAATCCACTTGTGAAGCTGGAGAAGAGAAATGGGTTTTAAAAATTAAGTGAGCTGAGGCTGGGCGCGGTGGCTGACACCTGTAATCCCAGCACTTTGGGAGGCCAAAGTGGGCGGATCACGTGGTCAGGAGATCGAGACCATCCTGGCTAACACGGTGAAACCCCGTCTCTACTAAAAATACAAAAAATTAGCTGGATGTGGTGGTGGGCACCTGTAGTCCCAGCTACACGGGAGGCTGAGGCAGGAGAATGGCGTGAACCCAGGAGGCGGAGCTTGCAGTGAGCCGAGATCTCGCCACTGCACTCCAGCCTCGGCAACAGCCAGACTCTGTCTCAAAAAAAAAAAAAAAAAAAAAAAAGAGAGAATTAAGTGAGCGGAACTCACCTGAAGTGGTTTACTTCTGTGGGTTAAGAAGTTTTAGTCAGTGTTTATAGTCATTTCATTTTGATAATTGTTGAACCAATTTTGTTTTTAAAACCTTTAGACTCTAAAAGTAGTATTTTGACTAAGAATATAAATATTTCCAAAACTAAATTATTCGGGAAGTAAACAGTTTTTTTTTTTAAGTATTTTTACTGGTTTTATACCAATATTATATCCAGAAATCACAGGATGAATTTAGAATTAAATCTCAATTAGTACACTTTGGCCTAGATTTATGAAAAATGCATGCTTCGTAAAGAGTCCACTGTATTCACGAGTAAAGTTGCTTTTAGTGTTTACTTGATGACTTGGAGAGTAAGAATTTTGCAAAATCTGAATTAAGGAAATTCTTTAGGATAACCATTTGAAAAAATAAAATTGCTATGCAATCTTGAATATTTTCTCTTTTGCCTCGTAAAATGAAAATGCATTCATAGTTTCTGTAAGTTATGTAGCAGCCTTAAAGTTTATCAACGAATTGTCCAGATTCCACATGCAGCATGCTTGGCCCTGCATTTAATTTAAGAAGGGTTAATAATAATGCTCTGAGTTTTTCAAAAGGGATTCTCCTAAACCCACCCACTTCTTTTGCCCAGGCTGCTTTTTAAAAATACTTTTTTATTTTTTACTTATGTTTAAATTTTCTCTTTTTATTTATTTTTTTGTTTTCTTGTTAGCCCCCTATTATATGGGATAACTAAAATTGTTATATTTTGAAAGTACTTACTACATTATTTTTATTTTAGTATCTTGATGCTCCTATCAAAAGGGAAATGAGGCTTTAAAAAATAAAGTACCTTAATTTTTTATTGACTTTTTGCCCTAAATTGCTAGGTGTGACCCAGCAATCTTTTAGGAAGAGATTTTACAGTGGTGCTTTATTTATGTCAATAATCCAGTA